AAGTCCCAAAGAGTAGTACTGACGACTACGGGCAATGCTTTGTTTAAACATGCCAATATGGTCCTGTCATTTGCATGTAAACTCTAAGTAACCGCGAAAGCGTCCATCAATCATTAACTGGTAGCTTTAACCTTGGAACACGCAGTGAGACAGTTCCTGTGCGGTCTAGTTCCTGCCAATGCTTTATTTAGAAACAGAGTGGGTGGAGCATTTGCGGTCGACGAGGTATGTTACTATTTATATGACCACTCTTCTGCGTATCCATAGTCGTAGAGTGGGGTCTAAACGTAAGCGAATATAACGAAAATGGCTCTAGTGCAAAGGGAAAAAGTTTGCTCGTTCGTCTGTAGCAAAATCACGTTCAGTACTTTTCAGGGAAGCGAAAATCTCAACCAAGAAAAATCATTTTTCTTAACTTTACTTTAGGTCATGTACATAGACATCTTTTGGATAAATGCCGTATAAAAACGTCTCTTAAAGCGGGAACTTAGTAGATAAAATTTTTAGTCGATCAAGATCATATTTAGTGCTTACTTCTAAGGATAGTTTATAAGGGTCATCCTAGTATCACATAACCCCAGAATTCTGTAATACGTTAATGATAGAATGTATAAAATAGTTATTTTGTACGTAGCGATGGCAAACAAAGGCTTTCATTTAGGCTGCTAGGAACTAGTCCTTACAAACATCCACATTCAAATTAAACAAAACTACCTTCATGGTAGATACATAGATACCCTAGAAATATAGTATGAATAAAGCAGCATTTAATTAATTGTAACGTCTATTTAAATACATCGGTCAATCGGTATGCTAACTCTACATGCGGAAGGAAGAGCTTCCATTTTACTACAACGAAATAGTACTTGAAAAATTTGTTTGGCTTTTTCGTTTAAGCAAACGCTGTTTATTATAGCTATGGTGTTTTAAGGGGATGCGTTTGGATAAGTTCCAGATTGGATAATGATTTTGCGTCAATTTCAGTATATTTCATGAGTTAGGTCACCTACTGTGAGTAATATCGGATCAAACCAAAGAAAACAGTGGATACTGAAACATCAGGGTAACTTTCTGTTCCCCAATCCCCATCAGGCAACAAACTGAGCCCCGTAAATACTCAGCACACATGACGAGGGAAGGAGAAATGCCAGAAAAACGGTCAACAGGGAAATGAAATCGGTGAGAGTGACAACACACGCAAGAAGACCAATGCGGCTAACAAAAAATCCACCAGCACTTCTCTCTACACGGGCGTTACTAACAAATCTGCCGCGGCGTCCGGCGAAATGAACTCCTCGAGGGACCACTAGCACCAGGCAACTGTTTACAGATCTAGCTGTCCCGAAGGACATAAAGAGACGAGTAACATTAGTCACGCAAAGCGTGGTCATAAAAAAAACTGGGGAAAAAAACGTCCAATGTTTGTCAATGTATGCTGACGAAAGCGGGGAAGTAAAATGGCCAAAACTCTGTCTCGGACAAGGCTCAGAAGTGGGGTAACGTGTATTTCCACCTCCCCCGGTAGTTATTGCCATCAACGTGTTTACCTAGCGTGTGTCGTGCTGAGGTAGGGATGAGATTCATTCAAAAAGATAGAGCTACCAGTAGCGGCAGGCAAGAAAAAGAAGCGGGATGCAAAAAAG